TTTGAGAATATGTGAGACTCGTCCCTCCAGCAGGAGACGAAGACCACTTTTATCACCTCAAGTCCACCATACTTTTGGGGGGCGCGTCCCCCCGGCCTCCCTCACCCTGGCAATATTGCAACAAACTCTATGTTCCAGCAGGCTCATATGTACCAAGTTCCCCCCCCCCCCCGCACAGAGGTCGGCGACAACTGCACCCTTCAAGGACCTAATGGTGACCCCTGACCTCTATACTGTGTCCGCCACCTGAGGTCATTCAGGAGAATTTCTTGGCCAGCCTCTCTAAGGAGTCGCCCTGTTGACACAGTTATGGTGAGATGAGGAAGAGAGAGAGAGAGATATCTCTCTCTGTATCTTTGTCTCTGTATCTTTGTCTCTGTCTCTCTCTCTCTCTCTCTCTCTCTCTCTCTCTCTCTCTCTCTCTCTCTCTCTCTCTCTCTCTCTCTCTCTCTCTCTCTCTCTCTCTCTCTCTCTCGTCTTATCATTCTCTTGCAAAATATATTTGATTTTTTCCTCTTAGGATCCCTCCCCCCCCCCTTAATAAAATAATCTATTTATGTATAGTTTAGCAACAACAACAATAGCGACACAACAACAATATATATGATGTGAGAAACAGTCTAGGGGCCCTGAGAAGGGCTCGAACCTGCGCACACTTGTGGCGTTGTGGTTTTTGGGGAGAATACCGAGTTTCCGGGAGCTTCACCTGCGGTACTTGGTTAGTACTGAGTTATACTGGACGTGAAGACCAGCAGGTAGGCACGGGGGACAGGTAGACAGGTAGGCAGGTAAGGCACGGGGAACAGGTAGGCAGGGATGGAGGTGGTCAGAAAAGAAAGAAAGGACAGATACAGGGTGTACCAAAATGACACATACCGCACCGTCTCCACCTCTGGTTTCAGTCTCCAACATTTATACTCGGCCAATAAAAGCCTTGATTAAATTCCGAATGGAATATTCTCACTGGAGTGTGTGTGTGATTCCCAGTGGTGTGTGTACTCGCCTAGTTGGGCTCACCTAGTTGTGCTTGCGGGGGTTGAGCTCTCGCTCTTTGGTCCCGCCTCTCAACTGTCAATCATCTAATGTACAGGTTCCTGAGCCTGTTGGGCTCTATCATATCTACACTTGAAGCTGTGTATGGAGTCAGCCTCCACCACATCACTGCCTAATGCATTCCATTTGTCAACCACTCTGACACTAAAAAAGTTCTTTCTAATATCTCTGTGGCTCATTTGGGCACTCAGTTTCCACCTGTGTCCCCTAGTGTGTATTCGCCTAGTTGTGCTTGCGGGGGTTGAGCTCTGGCTCTTTGGTCCCGCCTCTCAACTGTCAACAGGTGTACAGATTCCTGAGCCTACTGGACTCTATCATATCTACATTTGAAACTGTGTATGGAGTCAGCCTCCACCACATCACTGCCTAATGCATTCCATTTATTAACTACTCTGACACTAAAAAAAAATTCTATTCACTTTATGGAAAGTACTCAACTTCCACCTGTGTCTCCTAGTGCGTGTGCCCCTTTTGTTAAACTGTCTACCCTATCAATTCCTCTGAGAAGTTCGTATGTGGTGATCATGTCCCCTCTAACTCTCCTGTCTTCCTGCAACGTGAGGTTTAATTCCAGTAGTCTCTTCTCATAGTTCATGCCCCTCAGTTCGGGTACTAGTCTGGTGCAAACCTCTGAACCTCTCCAATTTAGTTTCATGCTTGACTAGATATAGACTCCATGATGAAGCTGCATACTCCAGGATTGGTTTGACATACGTGGAATACAAAGTTCTGAATGATTCTTTACACAAGTTCCTAAAGGCTGTTCTTATGTTAGCCAACCTGGCATATGCCGCTGATGTTATCCTCTTGATATGGGCTTCAGGGGACAGGTCTGGCGTGATATCAACCCCCAGGTCTCTCTCTCTCTGATTCTTGAAGAATGTCATCTCCAAAATGATACCTTGAATCTGGCCTCCTGCTCCCTACATCTTCATTATGTTACATTTGCTCGGGTTAAACTCTGACAACCATTTGTTGGACCATTCCTTCAGTTTGTCTAGGTCTTGTTGACGCTTCATGCTGTGTGTGTGTGTGTGTGTGTGTGTGTGTGTGTGTGTGTGTGTGTGTGTGTGTGTGTGTGTGTGTATTCACCTAGTTGTGCTTGCGGGGATTGAGCTCTGCTCTTTCGGCCCGCCTCTCAACTGCCAATCAATCAACTGTTACTAACTACTTTTTTCCCCACTCACACACCCAGGAAACAGCCCGTAACAGCTGTCTAACTCCCAGGTACCTATTTACTGCTAGATAACAGGGGGCATCAGGGTGAAAGAAACTCTGCCCGTTGTTCCTCGCCGGCGCCGGGAATCGAACCCGGGCCACAGAATTAGGAGTCCCGCGCGCTGTCCACTCAGCTACCAGCGCCCTAGTAGTGTGTGTGTGTGTGTGTGTGTGTGTGTGTGTGTGTGTGTGTGTGTGTGTCTAGAGGGTTGAACTCCTTTAGATTATTCCACATTCCCACTTCTTTTACGCTAAAATAAATTGTTCAAACATCTTCGGCCCATCTATTTCTCTAGCTTCTATCCCAGCCACCTTGTAGTGTTGATATTCATTGTGAAGATCTATTTTTTCCTTGTCACTCACCCTAAGTATTTTATATGTCTCTATCATGTCTCCACTCTCTTCTCCCTTCCTAGCGATCTAGTGTTCGGGTCTTTCAATTTCTCTTTTAAATCCTTCCTTTGCAGTTCTGGGACGAGTCTCGATACAAACCTTTGAACCTTTTCAAGTTTCATTACTTTTTATTTTATTTCTTTTAGATAAAGGATTCAAGATGGGGCTGCATACTGTAAGACTGGTCTAACATAGGTGATTTAGCTTCCATGGGTGATTTTTTTTTTTTAAGTTTTGTCCCGAGGGGAGAGTTTATTGGGCAGTGCAATTCATCATGTGAGTGGACACACCGCCATAGCAGCGTGTACAACACTCCCCAATTAGAAGAAAACCCGCTGGGTTGTTCATCCTGTCACTGTTACCTTCTTGAGGTTATCTTGAGAGGATTTCGGGACTTTAGTGTCCCCGCGGCCCGGTCCTCGACCAGGCCTCCACCCCCAGGAAGCAGCCCGTGACAGCTGACTAACACCCAGGTACCTATTTTACTGCTAGGTAACAGGGGCATAGGGTGAAAGAAACTGCCCATTGTTTCTCGCCGGCGCGTGGGATCGAACCCAGGACCACAGGATCACAAGTCCCGCGTGCTGTCCGCTCGGCCGACCGGCTCCCCGAGACACAGCTGGGACTTGTTTGGTGTTACGGCCACTCCCAGGTTTTATTTTCTAGCCTTTACAGCCTTTCTAGCCTTTTCTAGCCTTTTCTAGCCTTTTCTAGCCTTTTCTAGCCTTTTCATCCCTTTATTGTGTCCCGTAATTCTCGTCTCCTGGTTCCTCTTCCTATTTCATTTCCAGTGTCATAAGAATTATCCCATATAATGTTGTGAGCGGTCTTTCTCTCTCTCTCTCTCACGGGAGCCGGTCGGCCGAGCGGACATCACACTGTACTTGTGATCCTGTGGTCCCGGGGTCAATCCCGGGCGCCGGCGAGAAACAATGGACAGAGTTTCTTTCACCCTATGCCCCTGTTACCTAGCAGTAAAATAGGTACCTGGGGGTTAGTCAGCTGTCACGGGCTGCTTCCTGGGGGTGGAGGCCTGGTCGAGGACCGGGCCGCGGGGACACTAAAAAGCCCCGAAATCATCTCAAGATAACCTCAAGATATACCTCGTACGTGTGTACATAATGCTGTGCTTTGTTGGTCATATCTGACCTCTTGTGTCGGGTGTTTGCGGGTGTTTAGATCCCCGCAGGTGTTTGGGCTTTAATAAGTTATATATTATAACAACTACAAGGAGTCCCGTGTAGATGCCGCTGGCCTCCGCCTTAAATTTATTGATATTTGACGTAATTTGTTCCTTACTTTAGCACTTAACAGATGTTTCGGAGCCGAAACATCTGTTATGTTAAATAATCTTGTGTGTGTGTGGTAGAGACGAGAATGGTGGCTAGCATTATCAAAGCTCCTCAACCGCTTCTGTGGTTAAGCAGTAACGCATTTAACTATATCTTGTCTAACAGCCGCCCGGCCTCATCAACATAGGTCAAGTGCTCCTTAACCTAACTGTATATATATATACACACATATATATATATATATATATATATATATATATATATATATATATATATATATATATATATATATATACATGTATATATATATACATATATATATATATATATATATATATATATATATATATATATATATATATATATATATATATATATATATATATACCGCCTGTTGAACGAGCCTAGCCTGAGGACGGGCTGCTTCCCTATCCACGGGAAGGCGTCTCATTGGCTATATTGAACGGCTCATTCGTGACGTCACCCATGAAGCTACGAATAACTTTGCTCCCATTGGTTACAGGGAGAGAGAGAGAGAGATGTATATGACGTCAGTATAGGGCCACGCCCAACTTCACTCTCATTGGTTACAGAGACAGGTATGTTTATGACGTCAGTAAAGAGCCACGCCCAACTTCACTCTCATTGGTTACAGAGACAGGTATGTTTATGACGTCAGTCAAGAGCCACGCCCAACTTCACGCTCATTGGTTAAAACGGCTGTTGTGCTTATGACGTCACTTCGAATGTTATATCTTCTCTTCTTACTGGCAGTAGGAGACAAAATATTTAATACGTCATCACACAATCACGCCTCACACTCCCTATTGGTTGAAAAAGGCAGACCATCTACGAGGCCAACAGACCATCCACGAGGCCAACAGACCATCCACGAGATCAACAGACCATCCACGAAGCCAACAGACCATCCACGAGGCCAACAGACCATCCACGAGATCAACAGACCATCCACGAGGCCAACAGACCATCCACTAGATCAACAGACCATCCACGAGGCCAACAGACCATCCATGAGATCAACAGACCATCCACGAGGCCAACAGACCATCCACGAGGCCAACAGACCATCCACCAAGCCAGCAGACCATCCACGACACCAACAGACCATCCACGAGATCAACAGACCATGCACGAGATCAACAGACCATCCACGAGATCAACAGACCATCCACGAGGCCAACAGACCATCCACGAGGCCAACAGACCATCCACGAGGCCAACAGACCATCCACGAGGCCAACAGACCATCCACGAGGCCAACAGACCATCCACGAGGCCAACAGACAATCCACGAGATCAACAGGCCATCCACGAGGCCAGCAGACCATCCACGAGGCCAACAGACCATCCACGAGGTCAACAGACCATCCACGAGGCCAACAGACCATCCACGAGGCCAACAGACCATCCACCAAGCCAGCAGACCATCCACGAGGCCAACAGACCATCCACGAGGCCAACAGACCATCCACGAGGTCAACAGACCATCCACGAGGTCAACAGACCATCCACGAGGCCAACAGACCATCCACGAGGCCAACAGACCATCCACTAAGCCAGCAGACCATCCACGAGGCCAACAGACCATCCACGAGGTCAACAGACCATCCACGAGGCCAACAGACCATCCACGAGGCCAACAGACCATCCACCAAGCCAGCAGACCATCCACGAGGCCAACAGACCATCCACGAGGCCAGCAGACCATCCACGAGGCCAACAGACCATCCACCAAGCCAGCAGACCATCCACGAGGCCAACAGACCATCCACGAGGCCAACAGACCATCCACGAGGTCAAAAGACCATCCACGAGGCCAGCAGACCATCCACGAGGCCAGCAGACCATCCACGAGGCCAACAGACCATCCACGAGGTCAACAGACCATCCACGAGGCCAGCAGACCATCCACGAGGTCAACAGACCATCCACGAGGTCAACAGACCATCCACGAGGTCAACAGACCATCCACGAGGTCAACAGACCATCCACCAAGCCAGCAGACCATCCACGAGGCCAACAGACCATCCACGAGGCCAGCAGACCATCCACGAGGTCAACAGACCATCCACGAGGTCAACAGACCATCCACGAGGCCAACAGACCATCCACGAGGCCAACAGACCATCCACTAAGCCAGCAGACCATCCACGAGGCCAACAGACCATCCACGAGGTCAACAGACCATCCACGAGGCCAACAGACCATCCACGAGGCCAACAGACCATCCACCAAGCCAGCAGACCATCCACGAGGCCAACAGACCATCCACGAGGCCAGCAGACCATCCACGAGGCCAACAGACCATCCACCAAGCCAGCAGACCATCCACGAGGCCAACAGACCATCCACGAGGCCAACAGACCATCCACGAGGTCAACAGACCATCCACGAGGCCAGCAGACCATCCACGAGGCCAGCAGACCATCCACGAGGCCAACAGACCATCCACGAGGTCAACAGACCATCCACGAGGCCAGCAGACCATCCACGAGGTCAACAGACCATCCACGAGGTCAACAGACCATCCACGAGGTCAACAGACCATCCACGAGGTCAACAGACCATCCACCAAGCCAGCAGACCATCCACGAGGCCAACAGACCATCCACGAGGCCAGCAGAACATCCACGAGGTCAACAGACCATCCACGAGGTCAACAGACCATCCACGAGGTCAACAGACCATCCACGAGGTCAACAGACCATCCACGAGGCCAACAGACCATCCACTAGGTCAACAGACCATCCACGAGGCCAACAGACCATCCACGAGGTCAACAGACCATCCACGATACCAACAGACCATCCACGAGGTCAACAGACCATCCACGAGGTCAACAGACCATCCACGAGGCCAGCAGACCATCCACGAGGCCAACAGACCATCCACCAAGCCAGCAGACCATCCACGAGGTCAACAGACCATCCACGAGGCCAACAGACCATCCACGAGGCCAGCAGACCATCCACGAGGCCAACAGACCATCCACCAAGCCAGCAGACCATCCACGATACCAACAGACCATCCACGAGGCCAACAGACCATCCACGAGGCCAGCAGACCATCCACCAAGCCAGCAGACCATCCACGATACCAACAGACCATCCACGAGGCCAACAGACCATCCACGAGGCCAGCAGACCATCCACCAAGCCAGCAGACCATCCACGATACCAACAGACCATCCACGAGGCCAACAGACCATCCACGAGGCCAGCAGACCATCCACCAAGCCAGCAGACCATCCACGATACCAACAGACCATCCACGAGGCCAACAGACCATCCACGAGGCCAGCAGACCATCCACCAAGCCAGCAGACCATCCACGATACCAACAGACCATCCACGAGGCCAGCAGACCATCCACGAGGCCAGCAGACCATCCACCAAGCCAGGAGACCATCCACGATACCAACAGACCATCCACGAGGCCAACAGACCATCCACGAGGCCAGCAGACCATCCACCAAGCCAGCAGACAGCGGCGGCCGGCCTGGCCTCACCAAACAAGACAGAAACAAGGAACCAAACACGCGGCGCGGGCTTCTCACATTTGTAAACAAGCGGTGGAGATTCCGGGCGAGAATATGGGGCCCACCAGCCCCGGTCATTAGGGTCGAGGGGGGTTATTATCTTAGCGAGGATTTACGACCTTATGGAGCGCCCCGGAATACATTGGCTTATATTACCGCGCGCGCCTGGCAATCCAGAGACAGTGGGAGCCGCCGCGGGGTGGCCTAGGGCGGCCTACTGGCGGTCAGCCTGTTGGGAGGTCGACCATCTGGGCTCGGCTGTCAGTGTTGTGTATTAACATGTGAGTATATGCCGAGGCTCATGGGGTGTACAGGGTGCTATCCCACACACCAGTGCTTTGGTCTTGCTATGGCCCAGTGGTCCTGCTCGTGAGTCAGTGGTCCTGCTCGTGGGTCAGTGGTCCTGCTCGTGGGACAGTGGCCCCTCACTATGGTCCACTGGCTCTCACAATGGTCTGATAGTCCTCACTATGGCCAGTGGTTCCCCCCGTGGTCCAGTGCCCCTCCTCGTTGTCCAGTGGCCCTCAACACAGTCCAATGGCCCTCTCTATGGTCCAGTCGCTTTCCAGATTCCTCCAGATTGTCTCAATCTGGAGGAATGTGCAAGGCGTCTGCGTGCGTGCACGCTCAACCAAGCTCAACCCACGCAAGCACAACTAGGTGAATACACACACACACACACACACACACACACGCACACACAGTCTATTTAACACAAGGGGCACACGTACTAGGGGACACAGGTGGAAACTGAGTGCCCAAATGAGCCACAGAGATATTAGAAAGAACTTTTTTAGTGTCAGAGTGGTTGACAAATGGAATGCATTAGGAAGTGATGTGGTGGAGGCTGACTCCATACACAGTTTCAAGTGTAGATATGACAGAGCCCGATAGGCTCAGGAATCTGTACACCTGTTGATTGACGGTTGAGAGGCGGGACCAAAGAGCCAGAGCTCAACCCCCGCAAACACAACTAGGTGAGTACAACTAGGTGAGTACACACACACACACACACACACACACACACACACACACACACACACACGCACAGACACACACACACACACACACACGGATGTAATAACACTCACAGAAACAAAACTGCCGAGCGTAACATGCATTATTTCTGGAGGACCATTATATGTAGTAAGGAAAGAGAGGGAAGGAAGATTAGAAGTGACTCTGCTGATAAAGAAGGACTGACATTTGGAAGAGATGGCTATCCCAGGCTGTGAGGGGAGGGGGGTTAGGTTAGCTTGAGGTTATCTTGAGATGATTTCGGGGCTTTTAGTGTCCCCGCGGCCCGGTCCTCGACCAGGCCTCCACCCCCAGGAAGCAGCCCGTGACAGCTGACTAACACCCAGGTACCTATTTTACTGCTAGGTAACAGGGGCATAGGGTGAAAGAAACTCTGCCCATTGTTTCTCGCCGGCGCCTGGGATCGAACCCAGGACCACAGGATCACAAGTCCAGCGTGCTGTCCGCTCGGCCGACCGACTCCTTGGTTCAGAAACGACATAACAAGCACTAGGACAATGAGAGGACTAAGGTAGCAGTAAAATATAATCTCCTAAAATATATAAAAAATATAAGGGAGACATTGACAGCTTCTGGCGGAAGTAGGAATGAACTAGGAAACAAAGGGCTGGAACGCCGAATAGCAAACTAAGATGAGATGAGAAAATTCCTAATAGGACTACCATAGGTAACGTATAGACTTCTCTCAGCGTTCTAAGACATGAACTTGATCATCCGGAAGTTCATCGCCACCTGAAAGGAAAATAAACGAAAAGCCGAAGAGGAATCCGTCACTCAACAATACATGTAAGAAAGCAAAACAGTTAAATACATGGAACAGGGAGAAGCAATACATGGAACAGGAAGAAGCAATACATGGAACAGGGAGAAGCAATACATGGAACAGGGAGAAGCAATACATGGAACAGGGAGAAGCAATACATGGAACAGGAAGAAGCAATACATGGAACAGGGAGAAGCAATACATGGAACACGAAGAAGCAATACATGGAACAGGAAGAAGCAATACATGGAACAGGAAGAAGCAATACATGGAACAGGGAGAAGCAATACATGGAACAGGAAGAAGCAATACATGGAACAGGGAGAAGCAATACATGGAACAGGGAGAAGCAATACATGGAACAGGGAGAAGCAATACATGGAACAGGAAGAAGCAATACATGGAACAGGGAGAAGCAATACATGGAACACGAAGAAGCAATACATGGAACAGGAAGAAGCAATACATGGAACAGGAAGAAGCAATACATGGAACAGGGAGAAGCAATACATGGAACAGGAAGAAGCAATACATGGAACAGGGAGAAGCAATACATGGAACAGGAAGAAGCAATACATGGAACAGGGAGAAGCAATACATGGAACAGGGAGAAGCAATACATGGAACAGGGAGAAGCAATACATGGAACAGGAAGAAGCAATACATGGAACAGGGAGAAGCAATACATGGAACACGAAGAAGCAATACATGGAACAGGAAGAAGCAATACATGGAACAGGAAGAAGCAATACATGGAACAGGGAGAAGCAATACATGGAACAGGAAGAAGCAATACATGGAACAGGGAGAAGCAATACATGGAACAGGAAGAAGCAATACATGGAACAGGGAGAAGCAATACATGGAACAGGGAGAAGCAATACATGGAACAGGGAGAAGCAATACATGGAACAGGAAGAAGCAATACATGGAACAGGGAGAAGCAATACATGGAACAGGGAGAAGCAATACATGGAACAGGGAGAAGCAATACATGGAACAGGGAGAAGCAATACATGGAACAGGGAGAAGCAATACATGGAACAGGGAGAAGCAATACATGGAACAGGGAGAAGCAATACATGGAACAGGAAGAAGCAATACATGGAACAGGGAGAAGCAATACATGGAACAGGGAGAAGCAATACATGGAACAGGGAGAAGCAATACATGGAACACGAAGAAGCAATACATGGAACAGGAAGAAGCAATACATGGAACAGGGAGAAGCAATACATGGAACACGAAGAAGCAATACATGGAACAGGAAGAAGCAATACATGGAACAGGGAGAAGCAATACATGGAACACGAAGAAGCAATACATGGAACAGGAAGAAGCAATACATGGAACAGGGAGAAGCAATACATGGAACACGAAGAAGCAATACATGGAACAGGAAGAAGCAATACATGGAACAGGGAGAAGCAATACATGGAACAGGAAGAAGCAATACATGGAACAGGGAGAAGCAATACATGGAACAGGGAGAAGCAATACATGGAACAGGAAGAAACTCTAGAAATGGGAGAACATCAGAGAGCCCAGGAAGAGAGCAGAGGGCCAGAAATGAATACCTCAGTGTGAGGAAAGAAGCGGAAGGAAAGTCTGAAGATGACATTGAGAAACAAAGCCAAGACACAACCAAAACTGTGTCACAGACGCATCAGTAGGAAAACTACAGTGAAAGAAAAAGTAATGAAACTGGGAAATAGGGAGGACAGATACAGAGAATGACAAAGAGGTGTGTGTGAAGTATTCAACACCAGATTCCAAGAGACATTAGAATTGTTTTTTATGTCAGAATAGTTAACAGGTGGAATACATTAGGCAGTGATGTGGTGGAGGCTGACTCCATACACAGTTTCAAATATAAGTATGATAGAGCCCAGTAGGCTCAGGAACCTGTACACCTGTTGATTGACATTTGAGAGGCGGGACCAAAGAACCAGAGCTCAACCCCCGCAAGCACAACTAGGTGAGTACACACAAGAACTCCTGCCTCCCATGCCACAAATCCAAATGCCCAACTGTCCAAATGAACGCTGTGTATCTCTCCCTGCTTGACTATCCTCTCACCGCAACAGGAAATTAGCTCCCCATTTACGAAACCTGTACATCATTTCTCAGTTATGGCGTTTTAGTCTTTCTTAAACAGTTTACGAGCTTGGAAACATGAAAACCCAAGATTATATTAATCTTAAACACCCTCGTTGCGATTCTCAGATGACGATCGAGGAAAGATGAACAGGTTTCAGACGGAAACACTCATTCTAAGAACTTCAAAATTGGGCTCTCGTTCGAACGTCTTGTGACATCAATGATTCGTTCCGGAGCCCGGAGGTCATGACTCATCAGCCTCACGATGAGTCTGCGTCTCCCCCAGCCCAATCTCCCCATAACTCATCATCTCCCCCCCAGCCCGAACTCCCCGTAACTCATCATCTCCTCCCCAGCCCAAACTCCCCGTAACTCATCATCTCCTCTCCAGCCCAATCTCCCCATAACTCATCATCTCCTCCCCAGCCCAATCTCCCCATAACTCATCATCTCCTCCCCAGCCCAAACTCGTAACTCATCATCTCCTCCCCAGCCCAAACTCCCCGTAACTCATCATCTCCTCCCCAGCCCAATCTCCCCATAACTCATCATCTCCTCCCCAGCCCAAACTCGTAACTCATCATCTCCCCCCCAGCCCGAACACCCCATAACTCATCATCTCCCCCCAGCCCGAACTCCCCATAACTCATCATCTCCCCCCCAGCCCGAACACCCCGTAACTCATCATCTCCCCCAAGCCCAAACTCCCCGTAACTCATCATTTCTCCCCCAGCCCAAACTTCCCGTAACTCATCATCTCCCCCCCCAGCCCGAACACCCCATAACTCATCATCTCCCCCCAGCCCGAACTCCCCGTAACTCATCATCTTCCCCCATCCCGAACTCCTCGTAACTCATCACATCGGCCCCAGCCCGAACTCCCCCGTAACTCATCATCTTCCCCCCAGCCCAATCTCCCCATAACTCATCATCTCCCCCCCAGCCCGAACTCCCCGTAACTCATCATCTCCTCCCCAGCCCAAACTCCCCGTAACTCATCATCTCCTCCCCAGCCCAATCTCCCCATAACTCATCATCTCCTCCCCAGCCCAAACTCCCCGTAACTCATCATCTCCCCCCCCAGCCCGAACTCCCCATAACTCATCATCTCCCAGCCCGAACTCCCCGTAACCCATCATCTCCTCCCAGCCCGAACTCCCCGTAACTCATCATCTCCCCCCCCCAGCCCGAACTCCCCGTAACTCATCATCTCCCCCCCAGCCCGAACTCCCCGTAACTCATCACATCTCCCCCCAGCTCGAACAAAGCAATATAAGCTGCTATATATTACCAAAATAAATTATTGAGGAAGAAACATTTCATCTCAAAATTATGCGGCGGATCGGGTCATTTATTTTGAGTTTGCAAAACTGTGAGGAAGGGTTATATGGCACCCCAGCTGGCACTACGATAGCTGGCACCCCAGCTGGCACTACGGTAGCTGGCACCCCGGCTGGCACTACGATAGCTGGCACCCCAGCTGGCACTACGATAGCTGGCACCCCAGCTGGCACTACGATAGCTGGCACCCTTGGCACTACGATAGCTGGCACCCCAGCTGGCACCCCGGCTGGCACCCCAGCTGGCACCCCGGCTGGCACCCCAGCTGGCACCCCGGCTGGCACCCCAGCTGGCACTACGATAGCTGGCACCGCTGGTACTACGATAGCTGGCATCCCTGGCACTATGAAAGCTGGCACCCCTGGCACTACGATAGCTGGCACCCCTGGCACTACGATTGCTGGCACCCCTGTCACTACGATAGCTGGCACCCCTGGCACTACGATAGCTGGCACCCCTGGCACTACGATAGCTGGCATCTCTGGCACTACGATAGCTGGCACCCCAGCTGGCACTACGATAGCTGGCACCCCAGCTGGCCCTACGATAGCTGGCACCGCTGGTACTACGATAGCTGGCACCCCGGGCACTACGATAGCTGGCACCCCTGGAACTACGATAGCTGGCACCGCTGGCACTACGATAGCTGGCACCGCTGGTACTACGATAGCTGACACCCTGGATGCTACGATAGCTGGCACCGCTGGTACTACGATAGCTGACACCCTGGATACTACGATAGCTGGCACCCCGGGCACTACGATAGCTGGCACCCCAGCTGGCACTACGATAGCTGGCACCCCGGGCACTACGATAGCTGGCACCCCGGGCACTACGATAGCTGGCACCGCTGGTACTACGATAGCTGGCACCGCTGGCACTACGATAGCTGGCACCGCTGGTACTACGATAGCTGACACCCTGGATGCTACGATAGCTGGCACCGCTGGTACTACGATAGCTGACACCCTGGATACTACGATAGCTGGCACCGCTGGTACTACGAGAGCTGACACCCTGGATACTACGATAGCTGGCACTACGATAGCTGGCACTCCTGGCACTACGATAGCTGGCACTCCTGGCACTACGATAGCTGGCACCCCTGGCAATACGATAACTGGCACCCCTCACACTACGATAGCTGGCACCCCTGGCACTACGATAGCTGGCACCCCTGGCACCACGATAGCTGGCATCCCTGGCACGATAGCTGGGACCCCTGGTTGCCAGGGGTGCCAGCTATCCAACATTATCTAACACAGTGCACAGTTACAGCCACAACAGACCACTGGAACATTATCTAACACAGTGCACAGTTACAACCACAACAGACCACTGGAACATTATCTAACACAGTGCACAGTTACAACCACAACAGACCACTGGAACATTATCTAACACAGTGCACAGTTACAACCACAACAGACCACTGGAACATTATCTAACACAGTGCACAGTTACAACCACAACAGACCACTGGAACATTATCTAACACAGTGCACAGTTACAACCACAACAGACCACTGGAACATTATCTAACACAGTGCACAGTTACGGCCACAACAGACCACTGGAACATTATCTAACACAGTGCACAGTTACGGCCACAACAGACCACTGTAACATTATCTAACACAGTGTACAGTTACAAACCCATTAAGATTTTAACTTAGATTCAACAGAGCAGAAGAAGTTGCTAAACACATGGGACAAAATCTTACTGAAGCGACCTTACGAGTTATAAATACTCATACCCCGCCCAAGTAAATAAGCACATCAGCCTGGAAACCCACTTCGGCCAATCATCAGCCAGATACCCACACCCACGTACAGACTAGCGAAGCGACTCAACGGCTTGCTGACCCCTTATATCCCTTGCGCCTTCAGCCTGAAGTCTCCAAAGGAATTTGTTGACTTACTGCGGGGAACACGGCCACAGGGATAAGAGCCTCGTTGGACATAGAATCACTGTTTACCAACGTACCTGTGGATGAAACAATCGGAATGATAGCGGACAGAGTGTATCGTGATCCGGCCTGTACTCCTCTTGACATACCAGAAAACATTCTAAGGAAACTACTCCAAGCTTGTGCTAAAGAGGATGGGCACATGTATAAGCAAGTAGATGGGGTCGCCATGGGTTCTCCCCTAGGTGTCCTGTTTGCGAACTTCTACATGAGTACCATCGAACAAAAGGTCTTAGTCGACATGAACTTGAAACCGGCCATATACTGCAGGTATTTTGACGACATTTTTACACAAGTACCTGATGTCAGACATCTGCAGGAGCTGAAGGAGGCATTTGAGTGGAATTCTGTGTTGCATTTCACTTACGAGATGGAGAAGGATGGGAAGCTGCCCTTTCTAGATGTAACAGTCATGGAAAGGAGCGGAGGTTACCACACTGCAGTCTACACTAAGGAAACAAACATAGGAATGTGCCTCAATGCCAACAGTGACTGCCAGACAGGTACAAGAGGAGTGTTGTTAACGCTTATGTCGACCGTGCTCTCAGCCACAGCTCAGGATGGAAGCAAGTCGATGAAGAACTCTGTAGGGTAAGGCAGGTCCTAGTCAACAACGGCTTCTCCAATGGTTTCGTTGAAGACATCATAAGAAGGAAGGTGAAACGCCATGCAACCTCTGAAGAGACAACTAACACAACACCTGTACCCCCTATTAGACTATTTTACAGGAACTTCTTTTCCACAGCTCATAAAACGGAGGAAAGGGTCCTGAAAGATATTGTTAATAGAAACGTTATCCCTACAGACAAAAATCAGAAGATACAATTGACGATTTACTATAAAACCAAGAAAACTGCCAACCTACTCATGAGAAACTCTCCAGACACAAAGCAGAACGCTTTGAAAGAGACCAATGTCGTCTATGCCTTCAAATGCCCACTTGGGAACTGTAAGCCTCAAAGAACTCAGTATATAGGCAAGACAACATCTCTTTCCAGGCGATTAACGATGCGTAAGCAACAGGGCTCCATTAAGGAACATATAATCTCTTCCCACAACCAGACCATCACCAGAGAAGTCTTAACAAAAAACACGGAAATCATCGATAGATACAGCGATAGCAGGCGACTTGAAATCTGCGAGGCACTACACATTAAGAAGTCAACACCAGCAATCAACAGCTAATTAATGCACAACTATATTCTACCTACTTCAAGATTCCGCACCAATATAGAAACATCAAGAAATATGGGCCAATAGGCCCTTTGCATTTACTTCCATTCTTCCCCTTTAACTTTACCCAATATTTCTTGTTCTATCTTGTGTTGAAAGTCTGTTTTCACCTCATCCAAAACTGTTGTAACATATCACCTCACCCAAATGCAGGCATATAAAATGAAAAGCCGTTTGAATTATAGCATAGTAAGAAATCTGTTTAGTGTTTGCAGGTTATAGTTGTGTGTGTGTAAACTAAAGTCTTTGAAAATGTAATAAGTTATTATTAAACGCGTTCAAATGTCGCGTCAGACTAGAAATAAAAATGAATTTTGGAGAACTGATTTTTCAATTACCATCGACAGTGAAAAGAAACATAAGAAATATTGAGAAAATTCGTGTTAGAATTATTAATCTTACTTTTTCGGTCATATTTAATAATATATATATATATATATATATATATATATATATATATATATATATATATATATATATATATATATATATATATATATATATATATATACACTCAAAATATAAGAGTCATAATTGAGATAAGGAGGAATTAGAAGATTGGAGAAGATTTGGAAGGAGGGGAGAAGAGAGAGATAATAAAAGTGGAATAGGGAAATAGATAAAGCAGGAAAGTAAATAACGCAAGACATGGAGAGGGATAGGAAGAACAGGGGTTGATAAAGGTAATGAATGAGAGTAAGGCAGAAGAGGGGAGAGAGAGAGAGAGAGAGAGAGAGAGAGAGAGAGAGAGAGAGAGAGAGAGAGAGAGAGAGAGAGAGGTGACCAAGAGACATGGAATTGACATGATGAACAAGGGGAGAGAGGAAGCGGGTGATGGAGATAATGAAAGAGGAAGAGGGAAAGAGGGAGAGAGGGGAGAAAGAGAGAGAGAACTATCAGGGGAATACGCTAAGCCACCACCACTATATAGAACTAGGGGTCAGGATAAGGATTTGGGATGGGAAAGGAATGGTGCCCAACCACTTAGTCGATCGGGGATTGAACGCCGACCTGCATGAGGCGAGACCGTCGCCCTACCGTCCGGCCCAAGTGGTCATCAAAACAAGCGAACAAGGTTAAGACAAGCAAGAAAGGCTCTCCAAAAGAAGAATGGTCAGCAAAAAGAAAATCAGAAATTAGGGTTTTTTGTTTCTCCCTCTTAAAGAAATTGACGTATAGACCTAACACCTTACACGGGACTAGAGGTCCGTGTCACCCGTGTCAGCCGTGTCACCCGTGTCACCTGTGTCACCTGTGTCACCCGTGTCACCCGTGTCACCCGTGTCACCCGTGTCACCCGTGTCAGCCGTGTCACCCGTGTCACCTGTGTCACCGGTGTCACCTGTGTCACCCGTGTCAGCCGTGTCACCTGTGTCACCTGTGTCACCCGTGTCAGCCGTGTCACCTGTGTCACCCGTGTCACCCGTGTTCCTTCTCTAATGACACATTTGAGTTCTTTTACTCCAAGAACCACTCAGCGTGTCAGAGTATTTCTGATAACTTTTTAACAATTAGACCTTAATTGTAGTTAGGTTTGCCCCCCTTCTTTACCCAACCACTTGGGCTGGACGGTAGGGCGACGGTCTCGTGTCATGCAGGTCGGCGTTCAATCCCCGACCGTCCACAAGTGATTGGGCACCATTACTGTCCCTCCCGTCCCATCCCAAATCCTTATCCTTATCTCTTCCAAGTGCTTTATAGTCGTAGTGACCTGCGCTTTCTCCTCATAGTTCCCCTTTCCTTCCTTGGCCACTTTTTAGATGTTAAATTGTTAATTTTTTTATGTTAGTTTACTCTAAGACGTTAAATATGTAAACTCCTAATCATAGGTGCTGTAGCACAGTGGTCTGTCTCCTCGATTCACAATCGAAGATTATACTTTTCCTTTCACCTAATGCGTCTGTTCACCTAGCAGTAAAATAGGCCACCCCCGGAGTTAGCCAGCTGTTGTGGGTGGCATTATGAGGACTTAAAGTTGTCAGTGCATTTAAAGACGTAACTTGCAGGCCAAAGAAAATATTTATAATAAAAAAAACATAGTTTTTCCCTTCTGTATTTCAGCGCATTTTTCCCAATATCGGCTTCGTTGGCACTAGATTGTGGATCCCGGGACCCCAGGAGCTGTAATTGGCCTAATTAGTGTTGGTAACGACCATTGAACGCGCTCCAATCAATACGTATGTCTTGAACTCTCTTTTTTTTTGTTTTTTTTTCCTGCTTGAATCGATCAAGAAGAGAAAGAGAGAGTAGGAGATCAAGTCCAGGAGGCTCCGACTCAAGCTCTTCCAACGAGAAATGTTTTCATTACACTGTTTGTTCTGGGACCAGATTCACGAAAGCACTTACGAACCTGAACATCTTTTCTCAGTCTTTGGCTGCTTTGTTTACAATTATTAAACAGTTAATGAGCTCGGAAGCACCAGTAGGCTGTTTATAACAATAACAACAGTTGATTGGGAAGTTTTCATGCTTGTAAACTGTTTAATACATGTAACCAAAGCCGTCAAAGATTGAGGAGAAATGTACACGTTCGTAAGTGCTTTCGTGAATCTGGCCCCAGGGAAATTGCACTCTAGTTGGCCCCCCCCCCCTAACAACATTAGCAGTAAACACCACCAATTGTGGTGATTAGTATCATTGTTATCGTTATTAATGTTGATATTTAAAAAAGACAAAAAGTTTCACATCAAACACCAAATCATCTGAACAAACAACAATGGTTTAAGATACATATGTATCTCCTAAGAGATACATATGTATCTGAAGCCTTAGGGAACAAAAGACAATTGCCTGCTTTCTGCTAGTTAGATATATATATATTCCCGCTACTTTTCAGCAGGAAGGAGAAGATATCAAGCCGCTGGTACCGCTAACATTAGCATAACAACAAAGGGCCATTTCCCGCCTAAATTACCCTCTCCGCCTCCAGCTGGGAGCATATACGTCACTGCCGCCCTCAGTCGCCCCCAGCTCTCCTAGCACCTCTCAGCTGCTGTGTCAACTGTTTGGTATGAGGTGGTTGGGGTATACTTCTCAGCTGGGGTACTGTGCATCGTG